TATTCATCACAAGGAAAGAAATATCCCACAAATATTTTTGTCAGCTTGCGGATGTTAAGTCTGAGAGTCGGCTGACAAGCTCTAACAATCCATCCATTTTCTAACTGCTTTATCCAATACAGGGTCACTGTTAACTGGATGACAATTTTTAAACTTGGGGAATAAAGTATCTTTAAAAATATCCATATTAATAGTGATTCATGTATTTCACAATAATAATACCGCAGGAGTGTCTGAATTTCTGTAATGGATCCGGTCCAGGGTATACTCAGCCTTGTGCCCGTTGCTTGCTGAGATGGGCTCCGACTCTCTCACAACTCTGTATTGGCTAAAGCGGTTAGAAAACGGATTGGGTGTCTGAACATTAAAAAATACTTTTAAGAAAACAGTACATATTGGAACCTAAACAGTTCAGTACAGCAACATCTGGAAGAGGAACATCAGGCAGAAACTGGACAGCGGGCACTGTGGGATTTGGAAGGAGGACTTATTAAATTACACTGTTTCTAAATACGAGACTCAATGAACCTGCCATCAGTGCGTAAAATTAAATTACAAATTACTTGTGGCATCAAATATTAAATACAGATTTTTTTCTTTAATCATCACAATTCCTGCCACTGCAGAACACTACAGTGTTACAGAAAAATCAACAAGAAAATAGCATGTTCTATTTTTTTCTTGACATTGTGCCTATTAAATGTAAATGCTACAAATAAAAAAGATTCTTCATCATATATATAACTATTAATTTATGCGTAACTGGGTTATTTTTTATAACAGCCCATTTAGTATTTAGAAACCTGAAAGTGTTTTTTTAATATCTTTGTGTAAGATTTAAAAAAAAACATATTGTTGCTTTGCCCAGATAAGTGTTGGGGATCCTTGAGAACTGAGAAATTCACAGGTTGTCTCCGAAACACAGCTTTTTCACAGCGAGCAAGCCTTGGTCCGTGACAGAGGATTCCCCTGGAGATGGGATTTCAATTGAACACAGTTTCCAGCAAGAATGAAGTGACGAAATGTCAGATCCCCTGGGTGCTGAGGTTCTGACTGCTCTGCCTCGCTCCCAGACTCTCCGCCTCCCCCTGGTCCCAGTGAGATGAAACATGTTGATGTGTAGAAGCAGCATTAAAAGGCTTTGGACTTAAACCAGGATCTAGTAATAGGAAAGGGCCCATTTGCACAGCCTGGGTTCCAACAAAAAACGCAACAACGGTGATCCATGCATCTACCAACTATAGTATGGTATTATGGGAGTGTTTGAATTTTAAGAAAATAATACATACAGTAACCTATATGTACTGTATACTGAATGTACTGTACTGTATATCTACCGTATGTGGGTCAATATGGCAACTTCTTTAGGAGAAATGTCCTGAGTACTGAGATATACATTATTATCAGTTCTCAGAGAGCCTTGTAAATTCTGATTTTTGTTCAAAACTGAGTAGTAAATGAAGCAGTTTAACTAATGTTTTAAATTAGACATAAATAGGATATTTGTTAAGGTCTTTTACAGTGGATTACCCATGCCATTATAGGTACCTACTGTATAAATAACTTCATAGGTTGGTTTTGCAGCTACAGTAATTAAGTAATCAGAAGGGCTAGTGTCCCATCCAGGCTGTACCCTATCTTGTGCCCATTCTTTGAAGTGATAGGCTCCTGCTCCCTCATGCCCTGAATTGGTTAGAAAATGTATAAATCAATAGATTAATTAATTAGACCAGCTATACATCTGAGAATGTACTATAAGTGAAACACAAAACGGATGACACTGTGATGTCCAGGAATTGAGATTCAAACCCCTGCTTTTAAAGGCTTATTGCACTTTGCCTGTTGGATGCTGGAAGTAGAAAGTGCTGTGCTGTTCCTCCCTTTTGTTTTCAGATATCAGCTGAGAAATATTAGGGAGAGGAAGAGAACACTCTCTCTCCCTGTGATTACAGCAGGAAGTTCTTCTCAAACAGCTGCTGTAGTCACCATTAAGGCTGAGGTGAGGTATCCCCTGTGGCTCTATGGACGTTCTTCAGTTAAACACTTTATGAACACCGCAGTACATGTTGTGATCCTTTTAAACAGTGAACACTTTTACATTCTTCGCTCTCAACTCCCCTTTCTCCCCTAACAGGAACCTCAGTGGCTGACAGACGTTATATCGTGAAATCAAAGTTATGGCACCAACGTGAGGAAAGCAGCTATGCGGAAAGACTGGGTTCCAAGGGTATGGGTAACAAGAGAGTGAAGTCACTACTATAATGGGACTTATCGCCACTTCTTGTCAAAATCAATACAACCTGTATTATATATACAGTATATGTCACTACTTGTAGAGACCCAACTAATTTTAAAACTAAAAAAGAAAATTCTAAAAATAATCCATTCTGCTCCAATATGACATGTAATAACAAGGACTAATAAAGTATGCTAATTAACCTTGTTCTGCTGCTCAGCAAACCATGAGGGAAACTGCAATCTGGAAGATAATAAAACTCACTGCCATGCAACCCAGATTTATATCTGTTGCAAAGCAAATAGTATAGAGATCTCCCTCTTTAGTGCAGTCATTATATGCACCCTTAACATTATGCTAGAAATTAGGGAGTTGAAACTCCAGACTTTAATTTTAATTATGATGTGAGATTATACAGTGTACTGAATGAAAATCATATCCCTATGCAAATGGGCGGTACAGCATTGCTTCCTCATAGAGCTGGGGCCCTGAGATCAATCCCTGGGTAGCTATCTGTGTGGACCTGCATTACTAAATACACTTACCCAACCAGCCTTGACTATAGCAAGGAAAACAGTGTAGTTTGTCGAAGTATCACTAACTTTATTAAGGTCTCTATTAAAAGCCTGGTTAGCCCCAGGCTGTAGTCCGAACTTCAGCAGTTCTCTGGCTGGATGTGTGTACAGAACAGTAGTTGCTTAGGAAGTCTGCTGGCTGTTGGCCTTCCACTCTCCCTCCGGGTGCATTCTCCATCTCATCCAATCTCGGGAATATGTAGCACTGGATACGTAACTCTGGTACGTGGATGGGCTAGATAATGCTGCCGGCTGGGAAGCTTCACTCGGTTGCCCTTTGCCTAGCAAGTGTTTCATTCGTGGATCATGTACAACAGGTCTCACCTGCGGTAGCACCTTATCACACTGGAGATGTTAATGCACATTTCTCCTGCTTCAGTGGCCCAGTGATAGAAATGTGCCCCTCCCAACATTGTTCTAGACAAGCAACAAGTCACAGCAATACCACAGCAAAACAAATAACCATGTTAAAAAGAGTCCACATCTGAAGTGCAATGCCATGTATTTGTAAATGTGACCACAGATCTCCTTAGCTAGAGAACCATTTACAGATAAGACCTGGAGCTGGAATAGATATAATTTCAGAATGAAAAAATAAAAAGCATTTTCATTAACTTTCATTAATTTGCAACAATTGTTCTTCAAACTTCCAAAAATCTCTTGGCCAAGGGAATTTCATGCATGGAAACCCATATCTACCTAGTGCAAAATCAATCTACCCATTTTAAATTGCATTGCCTTAGGAAGAAACTCCACTTAAGTAAAGATGGTCAGAAATCCAAAGGATCTGCTCAATTATCTTTGTTTTTTATGTATCAATTTGGAGATAATAGCAAGCCTACCTCACTGAAAGAGAGAGGAAATTACTCCAAATGAGCAAACACATCCATCATCCTTTTGTAGCACTCAGAGGATGTCTTGTAATAGGTAATCAGATTATAAGCAATAGACAACAGAGGTATATTCTTATTTTGTGAGTCCAAGAGAGCAAATTAGTATTGAAATCTAGATATAAATAATTAAATTAGCTTTCAGCCTGTGAGATTTCCCTACTGATTTCTTTATTCTCCTAGCTGCATTTGTTAGCTGTATTGTGTTTCTAGAAAATCTCAAAAGTAATCAGTTCTCTAATATAAAGGATCGTGTCCTACTGTACATGAAGATCAAAAACATAGATTTCACACAAATAAAATCGAATTTATGTACAGAATGAAATACATTCTGTTATTGTATTTCATATTATCAACCCACAATTGAATGGTGGAATTTGGCTTAAATTACACACTGTTTGAATATTTACACTCTTTTCCAAATGTGGCGTAGAGCATATAATAACAGTTTATGTGTAACTCTCCCAAACGAGTCTAGGTTAAAGTTAATAATCTGCCAAGAAAAGTTTTGTTGATATAGACTTACACAGGCCGGAACAGATTTGCAAGAATCAAGAAGTTTAGCTTGAGAATTATACCCCCAAAGCACAGTTTTAGAAGAGTAGGACACATTATAATTCAAAAGATATTTGATATACCATCACGTTTCTGAAGTGTTCTGGAACCCACACATTTCCAACAGCATTGTTAAATAAGCTTCTGTGTCACATCTAACACCATCCACTTCCAGTAGGCCTCCATTATGTTTTAGAAATACTTTTTTTAACATTTGAAGGAAGAGATTTATCTCCTTTAACCTTAAATGGACCTTAAAGCTTCTTTTCTATGGAATTTGCAGAAACTGCAAAAAATAGTAGTGAATTTAGTGTCTTTGAGGTGCTGTCTGGCATGAGAGCAAGAGTAAGAACAAAGCAGTTTTTGATTCTTTGATCCTGTAACCAAAAGACTAAACTTAACTTTCATCTATAGTTGCCACTGTCCAAGGACAATTGCCTATGATCACTTTTACGTACAGTATATGCTGTTGTATCAAAGCTTCCTGCCTTATAATTCTAAATGAAACTTATCTGGCATAGTTGGCCTATGGCTAAAGTATTCTCCATGAAATCCACTTCTTTCAGCAGAGAACTGACTTTGAACTCAAATCTTCAGCTATGGCTACAAACATGGAGGTTCTTATAACAGTTTGTTTTACACAGGTGTTTTGGTGGGGCGAACCAGAAAAAATCACAATGTCTCCCAGTGTTCCTTAAACCGAACAGAATTTACCAAGATAGGAATCCACTTAGCTTATCTTACCTTGTAAATCCTTGTTCTTCCTGTACTCGTCTAGGCATGACAGTTCCCCCACACTCTCAAAGCACAGTTTGTTGTTGAGGTATAAAAAAAGGAGAATCATCAGGACGATGAAAACCCCAACAGCCGACAGGAACCCTAGCGCCTCTGGAGACACTGTGAGGACAGCAGAGAGGAAGGAGATGGTGAGCACTTTAGACTTCTCAGCCCACCACATACCAATTCCAGCACAACCAAAGGTGCCAAATGAACCAGTTAATTGATTCAGTCTGGCATGTGTAAAATATGTGGAAGTCCTGTAAAGGTGTTAATTTTACACCTTTTGCCCAGTCTATGGCAGACCCTAGACCATGTGGTCAATAAAACAACCTTTTAACAATAGGGAGAACCGAAGCTTGGAAGAGGTCATTAAACATGGATGGGAGCAGGTAGTGGCCAAATTGCTACAGATTTTCCCCCAGGATTTCTCTGTACTTTGCTCCATCTATTTTCCCTTCAATCTTCACAAGTCTTCCAGGCCCTGAGGCAGCGAAGCTTCACCATACCATGATACTGCCACCACCAGGCTTCACAGTAGGGATGGTGATCTCAGGACAATGTTCACTGTTATGCTTACGCCAAACATAGCGCTTACCATCAAATCCAAAAAGGTCCAGTTTGGTCTCGTCAGACCATAGAACCTTCTTCCATTTTAGCTCAGAGTCTCCCACATGCCTTCTGAAAAAGTGTAGTCGAGATTTGATGTTAGTTTTCTCTCCTATGAAGCCCAGATTTGTGAGGCTCGCTCCCAGGCACTTGTCATATGTTTCTCCCATTTCAGCCATGAAAGTCTGTTAGTCCTTTACAGTTCTCACAGGCCTCTTGGTGGCCTTCCTTACTAGTGCACTTCATGCCTGGAAACTCAGTTTTTGAGGACACCCAGTGTTTCACAGTTCACAGATGTGCCTTATTTTCTTGGGGGATATGCAATGTCTTGAGAATGTCCTTATACCCTTTGCCCAATAGGTACTTTTCAATAATCCTATCCCAGATTTACTTTGAAAGTTCCCTTGTCTTCATGATGTAGTTTTTGTTGGGATCAACTGTGAGCCCTCCCAGAGATAGCTATATTTATCCTGAACTCATGTGAAATACCCTAATTGCACAGAGATGGACCAGAGCCTATGACATAGTAAAGGGGACTAATATTTATGCAATCACTTTTTTTCTGTTTTATATTTATAATTAATATAGCACGTTCCATAGAATTTTGTTTTCACATTGACATTATACAATGTTCTGTGTCAATTACTGTCAAGAAATCCCACCTAAATACATTGTAATTCTATATTGTAAAACAGTAAAATGTGAAAAAGTCCAAGGTTGTGATAGCCAATATAGCAACCTGGTTAAGTATTGCAGGCAGCAATAATTAACTCAGGAAGAATTGTAATTTGAAGGTTAAAGATGAGCTTAGGTTTTATTTGTTTTGAACATTATTTTTCCTTCACTTTAAAAATATAAGAAGCACCATTTTTACTTAGTGTGCCTGTCTTCCCTGAGACTGTTACTGCACCCTGTCTCCAGCTTTCCTATATACTGCTTATATGCAGTTATCTATGTTATATATACTGTATACGTTATTGAAGCAGTAACTGAGTGCTTCAGAGAACCCTAGAAGACCATGCAATCCTGAACTGAATTTGACAGCTGTGTTTGACAGAAGATGGTTAAATCACCTTGTTAAACATTTCCTCTACTGCTCAAGATGTCTTTCTGAACCCACCAGGCATAACATTTATCCCAAATCCTATCCTGTATGGATTCTATTCAATTGCATAGCATTTAAGAAATTACATGACTGGTAAAACAAATCAAATAGTTTTAACTTTTCCAATTTGTCTAGTCCAGGAATTATCTAAAATAAAGTATTAATGTCAGGATGCAAGCAAAAAAAACATTTCTTATACAACAATCCCAGTTCGTATATTATTTTGACAGCACCATGAATTAGCAAGGTCCTTAAATGCAATTCTTGTGTCATCAGACGACACCTGCCCTGGGGAAGAGGAAAAGACACAATTTACATTACATATTGAAAATCCTGACTTTGAGTTTTGTTTCCTAATAAAAAGTACTAGCAAAAGCTTGTTAGAGGATCACAGAGGCACAATTCCTCTAGCTCTGTAAGTCCATGACCTTGAAATCCCTTTCTGAACTTCTGTCATACCAGAGGTAACATCCGAACACTGGATTGAGCCGGCTGTGGTGGTGAAAGTAGCTCTGAGGTCAAAAGGTTTAAACAGCAAGTCAGCCCCAGGCTCTCTGTCTCCCAAAGAGCTGCTTTATCTCTTACTTCTCCTTTCAGCTTGATTGGGAAGATTAATAATGGAACTAATGGGACTGATACTGCTACACCACATGAGACACCCTTTCCTCTCCACGGACTCCCAGTGTCTGATGACAGTGGGCGTAGTGAAAAGAAGGGGGTTGATATGAGCATCTCCCTCTAGGATTGGGACCTGGGGCTCGTCAGAGGTCGATAGCAATGGACGGGGACCCGGATGCAGCATGGGGCCGGGAAATCTTGACTCAGTGGTATCCATTTGCATCCCAGCAGGTGCTCCTCTCTCTCTCAGACCCCCCCTCTCTGGCTCTTAATGAAAGCAGGAACAAGACAAAAGGTCACCCCGCCACATGTTGCTAGGGGCAAAATTGATTGCCTCTTCCACTGCCACTCCAGCACTTTCCAAATCCCCCGGCATGACGGAAATGAAACTAGGCCTTCCTGATTTTGTAGGGGGAGCTAATCCTGTTTAGAGGGTGGAGTCGTGGCTCTGTGGCTAAAGATCTGTGCCTGTGACTGGAAGGTTGTTGGTTCAAATCCTGCAGCCAGCAGAGGAATTCGACTCTATTGGGCCCCTGAGCAAAGCCCTTAACCCCAGCTGCTCTAGGGGCGCCATATCCTGTAAATGGCTGACCCTGCGCTCTGTGCTCTCCTCTGAATCAACGAATGTAAGAACAAAAGGATGTCTGGAAGGAGCTATATTCAACAATAACAACTGTTTCAGAACTGAATGGTCCATAGAGATCATAGTGTTCTGATGAGGAAATATGCTGCTTTGCAATGTTAGATTGAACAAGTTTAATTGAACATAAGATCCTTTGTGTGGACAAAATATGCCACTCAATGGCTTGCCAAAGACAAAGTGGGCACAATGGGGTCAGTCAAAGAAATGCTGCAGGTGCTAGAACGATATAATATAATAATGCATATTATAATGCAATAAGACAATATAAATTCTGTTACTCATCTAGATTATAGCATCACCAATCCAGGGTAGTGTTTAGATTAACTGATCATCCATCCATTTTCTAATCACTTCACCCAGTACAGGGTGGCATGGGAGCCAAAGCCCATCACAGAGAGCAATGGCCACGAGGCAGGGTACCCCTGAACTGGACACCCATCCACTCATACCAGGGCCATTTTTCCCAGAAGCCAATTAACCTGCCAGTAAGCTTCTGGACTGTTGGAGGAAACCCTCACAAACACAAGGAGACCACATGAACTCCCCAAAGACAGCACCCCAGGAATCAAACCCTGGCCCCAGTGCTATCAGGTAGCAATGCTAAACACCATGCCACCATGCTGCTCTATTAGCTGATCATTCTCAAGGTAAATCTTTAGGTTATACAATATATAACAAACTTCTATAGTAATTCATTTTGGCACATTATTAAAGTTTAGGAAATTGCCATGTCTCCACTACACTTCTGGTTTGACCAGAAAAGTAATGAAAATCCACCCAAAACATGATTTTTTCTTTTGCCACAGAACCATTAACACTATGGTGCTCATACAAGTAACTGCTATTTCAGCATCTGTTGTGAAAGAGTTTTAGCATGATGGTAGACACAGTGACACCACAGCTAAACAGAAGTGAAGCCAAGCAAAGACTGATTGCAACTATAGAACGCTCAGCTGCTCTGCCTTACGTGTCCTGTGTACCGTATATCACAACCGAAAACTGCCATCTGGGTTTGAATCTGTTTTTAAAGCATTGAAACGTCATCTCCATCCCAATTTTTCTGGCAGGCTCAAGCAGCATCTGAAGTGTCTCTCATTAAAAAGAAGGGGATATTTCAAAAGTGAATGAAAAAAGAAAGACGAATCTGACCCGGGAAGTGAGACGTGTACAGTAGACTGTACAGTGCTATCATACATCAGCAGACTACACACTGTAAGCAGGGGGCGAGTGTCTGGGTCGAGGTTGATGATTGTGAAGAGGGGTTACGGGCAGGTCACTACAAACCATAAGTAAGTATACCTGTACATGTACAGTATACACTGTATACTTAATGTGTACATTTCTCGAAACTTGCTGGCAATACTGCCCCTTTGTTGATAGGAAAAAGAATACTTCTGAGGTGCTCACTTTTTCATGTTACTTAATAACTTAATAACTGCGGCTAATATTGTATTTTTATAGCATTTTTCATTCCAAAGCACTTTATGTCTGGGGGAGAGGTGCACTTCATCCCTCCTGAAGTATAACACCCATCTGGGACACATCCTGCTCCTGCATCCCCAGATCAGGGGGAGGGATGAGAAAGTTCTTCAGCAACTGGATTAAGGGGAAATTTCAGGGAAGAAAGATTGTTCAAGCCCACAATAGCACCATGAATAGTGCCATGAGTTCTTTTGATTGTCAGGGTTTAAGCCCTCTTCAGAAGGACAGTACCTCCGACAGCATATGCTCCTGGTCTCCATACTGGGGCATCAGTTTGTACATTTTGTTTAAGAGAAAAGTGCCACCTGCTGGTCAACACCACTTCCAACAATCAGGGTAGAAGATGAACTGAATTTCTCATTAGTTCAGGTGGGTAGCTACGTCAGCATGCGTAGGTTGCAAAGGAACAAGTAATAGGTTTATTCCATGCTGAAAAAAAAGGAAGAAAAAACGTTTTGGCCGTGGAGCCTTCTTCAGGTTCTCAATTTCTTCAGGTTCTTCAATTTCTCACTGCCTATTTATCTGATCCCTGGTCAACATGGATTGTTTCAATAAATAGATTCTCCACAGATAGAAGTCATTGCAGAAAGAGAGAAGCAGAGATATAAGGAATGGATTAGGTTTACTGTATTCTTTTTGTTTAAATAGTTCATATACTGTACT